CCCAGAGGAAACCCATGTAGAATAGGGGGAGAATGTACAAACTCCACACAAAAAGGCCCCCGAGTCGGGAATCGAACCCAGGAATATTTTTTTGATGTGAGGAACAAGTGTTACCACTGCATAATGCCACTGCAGAGTGAGACATATGGCGCTTACACACTTGACCCGTTGGTGTTTGGAAATAATACGGATGATTTCACAGCTGGACACCTCATTAAGCGCCTTGTCTCCCTCGAGTGTGGTTGAAACAGTCTGTTTATTGTTCCCATTGCGGTGAGCCAACGCAACTTTCCCGTGTGTGGCTTTGGCCCATTGCTTAATCGAAACATGCATCTACAGCATGCACTTGTCTCCGTGTGAGTTACATTATAATATATATAAATCGGGTGAGTGCAATGAGAGAAAATGGTAACTGTCTCTTTGCAAGATAGGCAGACACCTACGGGTAAATGGGAATTAATGGACTGCATTGTCAGTGCTGCAGAAACACAAGCTGAAAATACACTACCACAAACATTATTTACAAACACTGCCTTATACTGCCTCATACATTATAAATGAGTTTATATAGTAAAATATACAATGTGTATAATTTAATTGCAATTGGAAATCGCAAAACCTTTGAGTTGTCATTTATCCCGAGCTCTCCTTTTCTTCCCACAACTTCATCCCTCCATCTGTGCAACACCTCCCACATCTGCCATTGCATTACCCCAGCTACTGTTGAGACCCTCATCCAGGCCTTCATGACTTCTTCACTTTATTACTGCATCTATCTCTTAAATCGCTTCCATAAATCGCTCATGACTCAACCCAAAGTGAAATCGCATCACCTCAACACTCCGATCCGTCCACTGACTCCCAACAGCAGTCCTAGATAAACTTCACGATCACCCTCTCCACTGTTAAGATCCTCAATGGACTTAACCCCTTCTACCGCTCTGCCTACTTTTCCATTCGAGTACTCCCCTTCACATACTCCCTACTCCAGTAACTAAGGCATTTTGGTGAAACCTCCAGTCAACCTTCGCTCAGTGGGAGGTTGCTCATATTGTCTTGCCTCACGGCAGATGTGGGGCGGGTGTAAAACAGGAATTTCCTGTTTTTGGATGCTGGGGATGGTCACGTGACCAGGAAGTTGCGATTTTAGATTTCCAGTGAACCACGCGGGCGTCGGCCATTACGCACATAATTCAAGATGGCGGCACACATCGCGTCACAGTGAAGCCACAGCCGCAATTGTCCATTGTGGGAGCTTAAGAAGCATTGTCTGTAAGTTCGTTTATGTTCTTATAATATTGGCAATGCTGTTATAATGTTAGAATGACCGTTATAAGGATGTAAATGCCTTTATAATGCTGTAAAATTGTTATGATAAATACGAGGCCTAGTTAACAACGAAACCTGCAACTTTCCTTATTGTGAATGTTACTTGTAATTTAATAAGTCGAGTCAAACTTGTACCCAAGTAACTATATTGCGATCTGGAGAGCAAGGATGACAAAATGTCTCATTCATAGTGCAGTGTTATGTGTAGTACTGTACATCTGGGGTGCAGTGTGATGATAACACGGTGTGCCTTATGTAACACAGCAGCGTATGCTCTTGTATAGCTATTCCATGGTAATGTAGGTGCCTGCCCCCTCCAGGATCTATTGTTTAGAAATATGTTACCTAAGACAATGTTATGGTGCTGTGGTGTTCATTGTGTTGGTGTTTCCGGGTTATAACAGATGCTGTATGTGTGTTTTCTCACCAGTTTTACCTCGTTAAACTCAATAAATGACGTTTGGAGTCGGACGTTCATCCTGGCTCCGAGGGTTTATTGAACGCGAGGTTAACTACTCAGCTAGTGGTGCAATGCAGCGCACAGCGAGGCCGAGACACATATCCTCTACTGTACCTATTGTCTGGAACTCCCTCCCCTCAGCCATCAGTGATATTGACTTCCTGGCCCTATTCAAGTTCAGGCAAAAGGCATTCCTCTTCTCCTGAGTGACAAACTAGCTGTCTCCTCTCTAAAATATGTGTAGTGAGTCCAACTGAGCTGCAGACATTGTCTTGGGAGCAACACTATTTATTACATAAACTCAACACAATATAATGTAACCTACACTCGGGTCTCGAATGCTCGTCTAACCACGCTACGGCAGAACTAGACACGGTCCCGCTATCCCAGTCCAGATCATGAGCTGGGCGATAATATGATGCGAACCCCACAAAACAGAACTTCACCCACCGACTTGGGGGTTGGCCACGAGCACACACAAGCAGTCTTGTCAGGGTCTGTGGCAATCCCCGCCTCACTCACAATGTGTCCCAGGTAACAAATCAACTTCTGTGGCTTAAATTTCAAATTTGCTGCCCGTATTTTAACAAATACCAAGTGCAATCGCTGCAGATGCTCCTGAAATGTGCGCCCAAAGATGATCAGGTCGTCCAAATAAATCAAGCATGACTCCCATTGGAGTCCCGATGACACCAATTCCATCAGTCGCTGAAACGTAGCCGGGGCTGAGTGAAGCCCCATCGGCAAACAGTTTAACTGAAAAAGCCCTTGTGGGGTGCGAAACACTGTTTTGGGCTTAGAACTTTCATCAACGGCAACTGCCAAAACCCCAACAGCAAATCCAAGGTGGAAAAGAATCGTGCACCCGACAAGGCATTCAATGAATCGTCCATCCGTGGGAGCAGGTAAGCATCTGCCAAGGAGACCTTGTTCAATTTTCTAAAATCCATGCAAAATATTATACTCCTGTCCTTCTTCCTAACCAAAACGATGGGTGCCTCCCAGGGACTGGTGGACGGATAAATAATGTTGGTGGCCAACATCTCATCGAATGCCTGACGCACAAGATCCTTTTCTTTTGGGCTAAACCGAAACGAATTTTGTTGGATGGGAGCGGTATTACCCGTATCAATATGATGATGCATCAAAGACGTGCATCCCACATCAAATCTACTTTTGCTTAAAACGTCAGAGAACTCCCAGAGCAAGGCACGTAACTCGCCCTTCTGCTCACTTGTCGAATCCGGGTTCTCGGCGCACAGCACATCCATCCACAACTAGTCTTCTACCACTCCACGCTCCACTGAAACCTCAACACTAGTGGCTACTTCGCTGGTCTTTTCACAACATGCAGCCGTCGCGTGAGCCAAAACCGTACCTATCTGCACAACCACGGTACGCAATCCTGCATTCAAAACCTGGAGGAAGGGTTTCTGGTACCTCCTCACAATCGTTTGGGCTCCCACCAGTATGAGACCCTTAACTGCCCTGTTCGAGGGGGTCAAGAGAACCCCCCTCCCCCCCCCCCCCTGCTGAAGATTCTCGGTTGAGCTGCTTTCGCAGCCGCAACGGCACGAGCATCTGTGCTCCCGGGGGAACTCGAACAGTTTCCTTCACCAGGGCCTGAACTGTAACATTCGCCGTACGCAGTTGAGTCGGGGCCGACAAGAACGCCAACCTACGCCCCGACGACAGTTCAACATAACCCTGGTCCACCAGCATCGTCAATCCCCAATAGACAAGGTACAGCCAGTGACTTTGAGGTCAGCACTGGTCCTGTCAACTCATTATCTCCGATCCGCACTGTCGCAATTATCTGAGCCACAATGCCCAAACTCCCACCATTAAAGGCGACACAATTACTCTATACAGGTCCCAAACAAATCGACTTTTGTGGCAATGACCTGTAAATCAGTCCCTGCACCGTCCCTGCAATTGCTGACGATCCCGCTGCCACTGCTACGACCCTATGTGCCAATGCCATCGATTGGCCCGGACACCGTGGCAATCCAACACCCCCTGAGCTACGCATCCCACACGCCACGACACGATCGACCCCAGCGACGCGCGAACCCGACACGATCTGTGATGGAGATGCCTGAGGTGACTGTGTAGGCCAGGTGTGTGATGCGCGGCGACTCACCTTTGGGCTTGGAGGAGCGGAGGTCGGCGGGGTGGAGAAAGAAGGAGGCACGACGAACTGCTCTGGCTCGGCGCGGCATCCCTTGGAGATGTGGCCAGGCAGGCCACACTTGAAACAGGTGATGGGCACCTTCCACGGGGAAGAAGCAACCTTCCCCTGCAGTCTCTGCTCCTGCCACCATCCCACATCAGTCCTCGCCCGCTGACTCCCATCAGCAACGCACAAACTGGAGGGGAATCCTTTTCCTCTGGCAATACGATGTCTCCTGGCACGCGGCCACTCCGACACGCCGCCGCAAATTACAGTGCGCCTGGATACAGCGCGCTACCCTAAGAGATGTTAGGTCGTCATCTTTTGTGGCAGACAAAAAAACGTCCATGTTCCATGCCAACGCCAACAGTCGTTCCAGAACTAGAGAGTCCAACCCTGCCTGGTCAATTTTAGGATACGCCGCTTGGCCCAGGGACATCAGCGCATTGCGAAAGGGACTGGTGGCTACAGGAATGATCGAGAAGGAAGCGTGGTCAGGTGACGGAAGAGGACGGAAGAGTCTGCCGGTGGAGTGAGCATCCATAGTCAGCGAGAAGGTTCGGGAATGGGGGTGTGGCCTCAGTTGGTATATAAGGAAGATGCGTGGGAGACTCGGGGCTGTTGCAGTGTGATCTTCGCCGATGTCAAGTGAACGTGTCTTCAATAAAGTGCCATCTCAAGAGAAGTGCGTCAAGTTCATCAGTAGATATGTATTCCTACATATGTCCCAGTATTTTAATGTTGTTGCATTTAGACACTACATAAATCCTTATTATATTTGTGTAAAAATGCAGTGCTTGTTCATGACAAGACCAGTAGAGTATGTTCAGCCTGTGGTTCAAGGAATAATAACTATTGCTAGTTTTGCTGTTGTGCCCAATTAATAAAAGTGGGATTTAGTGTAAAATTATGACACACAACTCTCTGGATTCTCATGTAATGGAATCCACAAGAGTTTGAAACGTTTCACAGGTTTTAACGTGGCTCGTGCAGTATATACCACTCAGTCGCCTCGTGCTTTTGTGTCACTCATTTCAGACTCTGGCTTGAGCTCTCAGGATGCCATCACGCCCTGTCTGGACGTTGATGACGTCAACTTCCTGGAGTCTCAAGCAGCCATGAAATCGTCGCCTCCGTCGAACGCCGACACCAAGCACACGACCGCGCTGGTCCACGCTCACCCCAAGTCTTGCAGTGACCCCAGCTCGGCACATCCCAGACTCGATGGCTGCTGCTCGTCTTTTCAAAAGTGTTCCATCTCTTCTCTTCAGCACATAGATGGGTGTCAGCATTCTCTTGTGAGCCAGTCACACACCCCGATATCCAACAATTGTCTTTGTGTCCATTCTGACAAGGAATCCTCTCATCACACCCACCACAAACATTCTAGTTACCGTAACTGCTCCTTGCACAGTCAAACCCATGGGCAGCATTGCCCGGTGTCATGTCTGGATCATCATTTTCCTGCCAACTGTGACAATGGGAAATCCACTCCCCCACATCTTCAGGATTCTCAGTGTTGCACCGTAGCACAAGAGAACAGTATAGAAATCCTCATGAAGCCATTTTCTAATCAGGAATGTGCCATGTCACCATTGCCCTCCAACCTCCAAAGATCCTGCTTGCCTCAGCGATGTAAACTTCAGACTTCTCCCATCTCAGAGCCTTGTAGCTACCAGCCTTCAATTTACGAGAGGCCACTCTACAAACAATCGCAAAATTACCAGACACCATCTCAACTGTATTACAAGGAAAGAGCCTCTGCATCCCCTCAGCCATCTAACTTCCAGTCCGTGTCATCTTTGCACCAGTCATATAATTATCATTGTCCTGCCTTGACTTCATCGTCTAATGAACCAGACCCTCCTTCTGGTCATCATAAACCAACTTTGTCAATAGTGTCTACCCACCACAGACCTATCTCTCCACCATTGTCTGCCCAACAGCTGGCAACTGCGCAGTTAACTTCGGATTACAAGAGATCACTGTCTCCAGTTTCAGCTGCTGCCCATCCGACGTTATCGCAGCCCTCACATGGACACCCAAATAGACCGTTGTCACCACCACCATCTGCTAACCAGAGATCACTTTCACCACCTGCCAACCAGCAGTTACTTTTGCCCCCTCTTATTGATGAAGAATCACTCTCACCAACACATACCAGTCAACAAAGGCAATTTTCAACACGTATTCACCAGCAGACACAACAAACCTCAACAACATGTAACCCACAGAGACCTCTGTCACCATCACCAAATCCACAGAGGCCTCTATCACCACCACCAAATCAACAGAGGCCTCTATCACCACCACCAAATAAACAGAGGCCTCTCTCACCACCACCAAATGCACAGAGGCCTATCTCACCACCACCGAATCCACAGAGGCCCCTCTCACCAGCACCAAATCCACAGAGGCCCCTCTCACCAGCACCAAATGCACAGAGGCCCCTCTCACCAGCACCAAATCAACAGAGGCCTCTCTCACCACCACTGAATCCACAGAGGCCTCTCTCACCACCACCGAATCTACAAAGACCTCTATCACCACCACCAAATCCACAAAGACCTCTCTCACCACAGAGATCCCTTTCTCCATCAGCTAATATACACCCACCAACATCAAACCAACAAAGACCTTTCTCACCTCTTTATAATCCACAAAGACCTCTTTCTCCATCCACTAGTCTACAAAGACCTCTCTCTCCACCACCTAGCTTTCAAAGGCCTCTCTCACCAGCACCTAATCCACAAAGACCTCTCTCTCCACCACATAATCTACATAGACCTCTCTCACCACCATTTAATAAAGAGAGAATTTCAAATCCACAATCTTCCAACCACCACTGTCAATTTTCGTTGTCGAATTCCAATCACCAGGTGCCTCTCGCAGCACAGCCTGGCCTACAAAGGGCTTTGTCTCCAGTCCCACACAATCATCACAGGTCACTTTCTCCACCACCCAATCACCAGAAGCCACCATTACCACAAACATCCAACCATCACAGGACTGTGTCATCCCAAGCGCACCATCAGCAGAGACTGACTGCCCTTTCCTTGGACAACCATCGACCTATATCTCCTCTCGCTTCCACCCAACAGAGAGCATTGTCTCCAGCACCATCCACCCCTGACAGACCCATTTCTCCAGTACCTCCAATGCAACATAGGCCCCTCTCTCCACCACCCTGTAACCATCAGAGGCCTCTTTCACCAACGCCTGCTGCATATCACCGGCAAAACTTTTCATGTCCTTCAAGTCAGCAAAAGGCAATTTTATCACCTCATTTTGGTCAGGATTTGTCATTTTTATATCCAGCTGTGGACAACTATAAAGTTACTTCACCACATGCTTTTAAGCAGAAGTCATGTTTGAATCAGCCTTTGACCAGTCAGAGGCCACTCTATGTGCAGCACCTGGCAAGAAGCCACTTGTCCTCTCCACCACAAGACTCCTACTCTTCTCCGTCCTGTTCTAGTTCTTCATCTCATCTTTCTGCAGATTCCCATAATCTTCACTGTGCACATGTCGCTTTGCCTTCACAAGTGCACGTCACCTCCAAATGTCCTCCATACAAGCAGTCCCTTCAGACCAATCTCGAGTGCGATGACTTTTCTCATTCCATCAACCCCGAGCACTGCTCTTGTCAAAGTCACAAGAGCCAGCACTGCCATTCCGGCTGTGCAAAGCCACATGCCCCATGCTTGCCACCGCTAAGCGAGCAGCAGGGCTCTCACGCCAAGCGCAATGCTCTCAGTCTCTCGGACTCTTCCACCGACCACAGCAGCACCTCGGCCTCCGTCTTCCAGCCCAGTCTGAGACACAGGCACCGCGAACCACCAGGGGCACCGGATGCTGCAGTGGTACGGGTGAGGAGCGGCCCGCTGTCCACCGAGTGGCTACCGGATGCGGTGATGCTGCGGGTGCTGACCCACCTACCGGTGGAGAGCCTGTGCCGCAGTGCTCGCGTGTGCCGCCGCTGGTACTGGCTCGTGTGGGACCCGCGCCTCTGGCAGACGGTTCAGCTTGGGTGAGAGTGCTGTGCGGATTTTGTCGGAAATACAGACATTGTAATTAATCCGTGTTATTATGCTTTTTACATTTTCTGTTAGGAATGGCTGAGTTTCCAACTGACCTGTGTACATAAAGCATTAACGTTTAATATTGTGTAACGTCACATGCATGAAATTCCTGTGGGGCAGCCAGGTGGGAGGCATCAAGAAGGGCCATTGCCAGAAATGTCACCAATTATACATATCTTATTTTCTTTTAAGGCAGCGTTATTGATGAATGTGGTGAGTTTTATTGTTGCTATCTGTGTGGAGTTTGAATTGGAGTTATTTTCTTGAATATATGGGATCTCTCTCGACATTCCTCTTTATGCCCATGTGCAAAACCACTAAAATATACCGACCAAACTTACTGTAAATCTTACAATTTCAGCACATGTATAAATATATTTGACCAGGTGGCTCAGCAGCAGAGTGAGCAGCTCACAATTGGAAGGTTGCGAATTCATATATTGGTTTCATATCCTGGAAGGTTGTGAGTCCATATCTGAGGTGGATAAAGGAACTACCACTATGTGTGGAAGCCAAAAATGGTTATCCTCTGAAGAGACTTGCCACCACTGCCTTAGGGGCTTGTAAGCAGGCTCAATGCTCATTTGAGCAAGAAATCACTTGGACTTTTTTTGGTATGAATGTGAAGTGAACGATGGATTTGTCACACAAGCATTAATAGCAGAATCGTTTGTTTCAACAAGGCCCTGGGATGAAGGCTCAGGGCCGAATGTGGAGCGAGCACTGGACGCGTTGACGGCACGGCTGTGTCGGGACACGCCGTTCGTGTGCCTCTCGCTCGAGACGCTGGTGCTGAGTGGCTCCCCAGCGCTGGGCGACGCGGGGCTTCTCACGGTGGCCCGGCGCTGTCCAGAGCTCCGACGTCTTGAGGTGTCAGGTTGCGGCGAAATTTCCAACCGTGGCCTCCTTGAGGTGGTGACGCGGTGCCCCAACCTGGAGCACCTCGACGTTTCAGGTTCATCCTCTTTCACGTCTTCGCGACAGTTGGCCTACTTCTTCTTACAAACCACAAAAGTAAAATAATACAATGCACCACTTGTTGGCCCACAGCGGTGTAATATAGCTGTTTAAGTCCAGCAATTAAAGGAGACTGCTAATACCGCTATCACACTTTATTGTAAAAATCAATTTTGCTGGCTAGAGGCATGGACGGATGGCCTTAACCAAAGGATATGCGCATTGTTAGTTAGTTTTAAAAGCAAATTACTGTAGACTTGTTTTTTTTTTCATCATGTCGTTTATTGCAATAGAAATAGGTAGTAATATGCCATTCACTTTATAAACTATGTGCACCTCACATTTAAACAGACGTTTATCCCTGCTGCATTTGCCTCCACTTTTGCTCTCACCCAGACTGCCCGGAGATCACGTGCGTGAGCCTCACCCCTGAGGCGTCGTGCCAGACCTGCCCTCTGCACAGCCGCCACCTGTTGCTGCGCCACCTCGACATGTCGGGCTGCTCGGGACTCACGGATGAGGGACTGCTCGCCGTGGCGCGACACTGCCCCCGTCTCGCCCGCCTCTACCTGCGCCGCTGCCCCGGCGTGGCGGATGGGGGCCTGCGTGCCCTTGCGCGCCACTGCACGGCGTTGCGAGAGCTGAGCCTGTGCGACTGCCCCACGGCGACGGACGCCGGACTGCGGGACGTGGCGGCTGCGCTGGGTCCAAGGCTCCGCTATCTGAGCCTGGCACACTGCGAGCGTGTCACGGACGTCACTCTGCGCTGCCTCGGCCGACGCTGCCCCGGGTTGCGCTACTTGAATGCGCGCGGTTGCCCGGGCGTGACGGACCGAGGGCTTGAATCGTTGGGTCGCGGGTGCCCGAGACTCAGAAGCCTGGACGTGGGTCGCTGCCCGCTGGTCACGGACGTCGGATTGGAGGTGTTGGCTCGTGGGTGTCCGGGTCTGAAGCGGCTCGGACTCAAGGGCTGCGAGGGCGTTTCGGAGCGGGGGCTGCGTGGCGTGGCACTCGGCTGCCCCGGGCTGCAGCTGCTGAGCGTGCAAGACTGCAACCTGTCCCCCGACACGCTGCGATTCGTGCAGCAGCACTGCCGGCGTTGCATGATCGAGCACACCAACCTGGGATGTGTTTGACTCCTCGACGAGCGATTTACGTTGACAACCTTGGCTTTGGTGATGAAAGATAAGATAGATTTTAGAGGTGTTGCGAACTGAAACTGTGTGCAAAATGTTGTATTTTATTATTTTGTGTAAGTCGCAAACACATGTTCATCGAAATTAACTCATTTAAAGAATGCAATTCATGCCCTTGTTATCATTGTAATATGAAAATAGCAATGCTGCTGATGCACTTACCTTCTAACTAATATGGTATCCTGCTGTTGATTTGATAAGAACGTAGGTGTTGTAGGGACATTTATCCAAAGTGAATCTTTTGAGCGTCGTCGCTTTTACAAAACCTGAGTAAACATTGGTCATTATTTTCTGCATCTTATAGAACCACCACACCACAGCAGCCTGAAATGTATTGAGACCTTTGACCATATTTGTGTTTAGGTTTTATATCCGTCTGTGTGTGCATTTCTTATACGTCTTTTGTCATTGGTGTGAATTGCCTTGAAGGTGGCACTGTTAGGGGCTCGATTGAGCTCCGTGTGGGAAGATGGTGATTCAGGATGCAACCTGAAGCCAGGGGAGGAAATGGAAAGGCTGCAGCAGTGAGCGCTGTGGGGATCCCTCCTAATGAACCCGGTCGTGTAGACGGAGTCACTTTTTTTTTAAGTTCGTTTCCACAAAATTTCCCGAGAATTGTTTCGGAATGTTCTCTCCCGACGCATTCTACCAGGTCACAGTTTGCAGTTCTCCACTGAAATGTGGATATAAAGCCGTTTTCATGCCAAACAGTTTTCTGGTGTGTGACTTATCATTTTTTTAACTACTATATAAATGATAACCATAATAATGATTTTTTTTTTATAACAAACACAAATTTCGAGAGACAGACAAACCGTTGTTTGATCGCGAGCTCGGGAGGCGGGGAACACCGGTTCGTGGTTTTTCCTGAATCGAAATGAATAAGTGCTGCGCCTTCAGCTGACTGCTGAAAGCAGAGGGAGTTTGAATGCTTCGTATGTGGAGTTATCGAGAGTTACAGATGATGGGAGCAGCCGCAGGAAAACGCTGCTCTGCCAAGAGAGTCCTGTTTGTGAGGACGATCGCGAGATCTTGGGACATGCCCCGAAGAACACGGTGCTTCTCAGTGGTAAAAGGTTTAAGGAGAGTGGAGAGATATGGCAGCTGACCTTGAAAGATGGCATGATGACAGAGTATGGCAATCTTATGCTTGTTTCTAGATTTTTAAAGAAAACCAGAACAAGGGTTTGTGCAAGGTTTTTGGCGCAGTCATGCAGTTCATGTGACTGCACCCAGTACAAATCCCTGGTGAACTATGGCTGTGGACATGGTGGCTGATGATATCGAGTTTCCAATCTTGGCATAAGATCATCAGTTGACATAAGACCAACAGGTAAGATTTAAACCACTGCAGTGCCACGCAGCTGACAGCAAAATCTGATTCCAGGTGCTCCATTTAGGTGTCATGATTAAATGTGTTGAAGGCAGCAGATATATCAATGCAGACCAATGTGATAATGTAATTGGAGTCGACAAGCCATAAAAATTGTCGTCAGTGATCTCAACAAGCGTGGTCTCAGTGGAGTGTGCTGAATGGTAGACAGACTGGTGCGAGCAAAACATTGGTGGAAGAGATAATGTAGTCTTTGATTCTAGGAGCTTAGAGGCTGTTGATGAATGAGTGATTGGGCAGTAATTGGCAGGGTTTAAACCAAGCTTTTTATTTTGTTGTGACCTGACCAAACTTCTTTGGCTGGGAAAATATAACCAGATTCATGAACCGTTTGCAATGTGGGCAATCATGACTTGAGAGTTTGGAGCATTGCTTGAAGATGGTGCCCGATAGCTGGTCAAGGGGAGAGGTGTTTTTATTGGAGAAGTCGGAATGAGGCAGAATATTTCCTGAGGCATGACAGGTGGGAGAGAGGAAAGATCAGAGTTGATAGGGATGATTCACAACGGAGTTAATGTGTTTGGATGCGACGGCAGTTGACAATAGCCATTGGTTGTCATGCAAGGGGATTCGACTAGTCCAGAATTTAAGGTTATATTGTTAAATGCGTTCCCTTGGTTTGCGCCAACTATGAAATCTGATGAGGGGAAGCCATGAGAAGAGGTGATGGTCAGTAGGTTTGACAGGAAAATAAGAATAAGAATCTAAAAAATCGTAATAAGACCCTCATCCATTGAGAGGGCTTGACTTATTTAAGACGCCATTGATCATTAATTTAAGTGCGTTCAGTCATAACCTCTTATGGTAACATTCTACAACTCTGCTGCAGTTATGGTTTGGACTCAATGAAAATAAGCACTTTGTTACGGGATTATATTTTTTTGCAATGTATGCATGTGTAAATTAGTCTTTTAAAAGTAATCAACTCATAATCCTGCACAAACTAACTTTATTGCAATATGCTAGGAACATAGCTTGCTTGGGTGTGCAGTTTGTATGCTGGACAACAGATTGGCTCTATTTTCAAATGTAATTCATTGTTATTAATTCATTTGCTGAAAAAGAGAAAAGTTAAGCTTGGATTAAAACACCTAGAAAGCCATCGGCAATTCATGATATTTTATTTGCTATTAAACCTCTTTGCTATATAATTTTTTTTACAAGCACAGTAATACCACACAGTATTTGTTATTGTTATGAATAAACAGTTTGTGAAACCACGTTGGTGTGCATACAGAGTAGTAGACCGGCTGAGAACAATGTGCATTTTATTTACTTAAATAAACATGTAAATTGCATTTTCATCCAACCAATTATGAATGATTACTGTAATCGAGTTGGTCCAAGAAAAGCATGCAGCCAGGCCTTGTAAGTGGCTTCCATGCCTGATGTTGATTTAAATGTGCCTGGGAAAAGATAAGATTAGTGAGTAGAGCAATTAAGTGGTCATCCTATAAAGTAATTTAAAACATTATTATTTTGCAGGATATCCGTGAAAGTATCATGCATTATTCATGTGATATTATGAGACAAGCAACTTGAGCCAGGTTGATTAAGCGATACATGATCACCACACACACTTGGTAGTACGGTGCTGTATATATTGTTGTATGAGTATTGTTCCTCTAAATCTCTCACGTCTGCCATGGTGTTGTTCGTGCATCATATTGAGACCTGAGAGTCGCAGATGTTTGTCAACATCCCAGATGTGATTGTTTTGAAGGGTTTTGTTTCGTGCTGTTGAAGGTCCCTCAAGTTTTTGCTTTTTTCTGCTTCTTGGAATACACGCTATAGATCATGAAGTTGACCATCAACAATAATCAGGTCTGGTGAGTTTGGTGGCCCTTGAATTGGTCCACTTTTCCCACACCAGTTGTCTGGGAAGGAGTCATTGAGATACTGCTACCTCGCAGCCAATGACCAGTGTGGAGGACCGCCATCTTGTAGGTCGTGAAGGCCGTCTTGTGTGTGTTATTGCAAAACTTACAGTTGATAGCATTTGACAGAATGCATCAGAATGGAAATTGTCCACACCAAAGAAAAAAGGGCCGGACGTTTGTCGTGCATAAAGCCTGTCCACACATTGACTTTCGTACACGCTCATGACCAATGCTTACAAGAAGACCGTCAGTTCCCCACGCAATACACTTGTGAATGTGTATGTTGACTCACACTAAATGTTGCTTCATTCTTGCAAGTTTTTCACTCTATTTTGTTAATTACACTACCGTAATTCAAAACGTGCTGCGGAATTCTGAAATCATTTTTCGAGGTGCCTACACACGTTGCGTATGATACGGGCACATCCTGAGAATATTTTGCAGAGGTTTGTGTACTGCTATGAAGCAAGCCCAGTTCCAGCGAATGCTCTTTGAGTCAGTATTTGTATACTGTGCATCATTGCTTCTTTGAAACATTATGTGGTTTCTCTGGACGTGGAGAGCCTGATAAAAAGTGGTTCTATATTAATGTGCCACAGTTTCAAAATTATGATACCAATGCAACATTTTTTGGTGGTGAGATGGCCCAGCAGTAGCACGTTCGCTGTGTTTTGCAGATGTTTGTGGTTTTAAATACAGCAGGCCGCCGCCCTGATTAATACTAGAGATGTATTAACCATAAAGTATGTGCCTGCTCATCAACAGTGGACATTAAACATCCCGTGAAGTCATTCAAACAAGAGAAGGTCATTGTGTCTTGGAGTCATGGTCCAAATGTGGCAAATGTTAAAAAAATACTCGCAAATTACATAATTGACAAACACTACAATCGTTGCTCCCTCCAGTGAATATTAGCAGGACCCTCCTGATAAAGTCTTGACACTCAGTGAGGCTTTCCTGTGTAAACAAGTTTAACAACAATAATAATAATCAAATATTCTGCCTTCATGGTGTTTTACTTGTCTTTTAAATTCAAAGTTTTTATATGCATGCCACTTTGAAGGCTTTGCTTGAAAAATGTTACATTTATTTTATCTTGTAAGGATGTAATTTTATTGGAGGGTACTCATCTGATACCTATCAGTAACGTTTCAACCACAGAGTTCAAACAGCTGTCTACCTTAATGGAGCAATACCTTTATGGACACACTTTACATTAAGGCTGCACTATAAATTGCACACATTTTATGCAGCCGACTGGTATTTAGCTGTGAAAATATTGCATAGGTAAGCACTTTAATCCAGTATTGTTGGCAATTGTTACTCTCTATTTTGCTAATGTCTTACCTGTGCATGTCATGCACTATGGAGGGAGGAGGCCGTTGCGGATTTTGATATTGAAGAGACCTCCACCCAGACCTTGCTCCAGCTCTTCTGGGATGGGGGGGGGGCAGTAGAGCAGTCGTGTGGGGGGGGGGGGGGGGGCACCATAACAGTGATTCACACAGCTAATAGAATTAACTTGGCTGGGCCAAAGGGCTCTGAAATCCAAATATCGGTTCTGAAGGGTTTTGTGCAGTGTGAGATTCTGTCGGCAGGAGGAGGTTTGGAGCGAAAAAAAATCGGCTATGGTTGTAGGGTATCAATTGTAAATTATTCATCAGTTGTTTGTCATCACAACCAACCGGGGCCCTGTGCATCAAAACTGGAGGTTTATCCTTCCCACTGCTATTTTTTCGATTGTGCTTTTATTGTCTTAAAGAAAATTTAAACACAAAGTTAACTGTTATTTTAGTTAACATTTACATCTTCAAATTCATGTTTTCCCACAATAACCATTTTAGAAATGGGACCACATTTTACAAAGCCACAATAGAATTCCGTGATATTTTACATGCATTCCGCTGGGTTGAAATATTTTGTGATGTAAATTGGAGTATGTTAATTTGAGTGGCACCAACCCTAAAGGCTCAGAAAATGCTGCACTGGACTTTATCTGGGAGAGAAAAATGCTGGAGCTCTGAACAAGTTCTCTCCTTTCCCACGGATTTAAACACTGCAGTAATTTAGATTTAAAACAAAAACTGCCCAAACATTCCCAGATCACTTCAGGAAACAGATACATGTGGTAAGTTAATTTTATTTACAATAATACATTTACATCGTACGTTTTAGGATCAAGATCTCACACAAAAACTCAACAATACATACAGTATGTAAAGTATAGTCACGAGGAAAAAAAACATAGTCAAACATTTAAAATCAGATTCTATTCAGCTAAAAAAAGCTAAATAAAACTCAGCTCATTGCTGCAAAGTTAATTGTTCATAAAAAGCCCTTTTGAACAAATAGGTCTTTGGGCATCATTTAAAAAGGGACACTGGATCCGTGAGCTCTAATGGCGAAGAGATTCATTAGAGAAGGTTATATCACCTTCCGCTTGCATGTTTCAATGAGGGAGCCATAATAGTCCTGTATCTTTGAATGGAATGAACGACCAGGACATGAGATGAGATTTAATTCAGGTATGAAGGGGCTAGGTTATTTATAACCTAGAATTAGGTTATTTATAACCTAGTCACGTAGGTATAAATTTTAAATAAATTAAATCACGACGTTTCGGGCGCAACACAAGCGTCCTTCTTCAGGTGGGGACAACTTAGCGAAAGCACACCGCTTAATTTAATTTATTTAAAATTTTTACCTACGTGACTTTACCGAAAATACAAAGAGTATGAATCCTTTCAGTCACGAAAACTTCAAATCTAGAATTATTTATAACCTTACAAGCTAAAAGCAGAACACTGAACCAAAGACGAAAATGAACAGGTATAAAGTGCAGCAAGGCCAAAACTGACGTATTGTGATGATTTATTTTAAGGTTATAAAGGGTGATAAACCCGACTTGAAGAATTACAGGCTCCATAGCTTCTTTGCGCATGTATATAAATCATGCACAAATATCATTGGGAGCAGAATAATGAACAAATTAGAGGCCAGCCAGCCATGGGAGGAATTAGCAGGATTTAGGGAAGGTTTCTCTCTTGAACACATGCAACAATTAATCAACTTCTGGAAAAGACCAATGCATTTCAATTACCATTGTTCCTAGCTTGTGTAGACTCTAAACAAGTACTTAACTCAATAGAAATTGATGCAGTCATACATGCTTCCACAAAGCAAAACCTAAATAGTAATTTAAAACTAATTATGAAGAAATAAGAAATCAATTCCTGAACATGGAACAGCCACACTAAGAATACATGCATAAAATACTCAAGCACATTAACAGGAGAGCCACACGGTAAAGGTTGAACTTTTTCCAGTCTCCCTACCTATACTTTGGACAATCGGTGTCCCTTCCCATATGCAACCTGTGCTGTGAAGCCATGCCTGGTGGCTGGGATCTGAAACAAGTAAAAAATGCGGAATAAGTTAGAAGCTGAAGAAAATTAGAACCAGGACTGTTCAACAAAGGCATTGTGTGTGCTGTTGCATAGCTGAGGAGGTGATGTTATGGGAAACATTGCACATACAGAGTGAGACCGTGTGGAGTAGGTGGCATGACTGAGATTAGCATAACACTTTGCCTACTCACTGGGCACTGACTTCATGTTCACTTATTTAACATGAAAGCTCTTGCTGTGCAAATTGTAAGTATGCAGAAATGACTTGCAGCGCGTCACACACCCCATCCCCTCTTGGCTGGATGTTGCCTCACTTTCAATTATTCAATCAGCGGGTGGCTCACGACTTCTTAATTACTTGAACAATGAGAGCCCTGTGCGCATGCGTGGTCACACACACAGAGACCATTCCACGCCATTTACTGGGTGTACAAATCTGTCCAAACTGACCTGACCCAGGCCCCTGTACGCATACCAAATGGGAACAGCATGCTTCTCATGCACTCTCCTACATACCGCTCTCTCCACCCTGTCCTCTCACTACTCTCCCACACTCTGTCTCCAGCCAACCTCCACGCAGTTGGAGGTCACTCACAACTCCTTTGCTGCTGCTACTGCAGTCGTAGTAATCTTCTTGAACTCGCATTCCCTCAGTCATCCGTACTGCTGAATCCCTGCCCTGCTCAAGTCCAAGCTCAAGTCCGTCTTCTTCTCTTCTGCCCGACGACGTCGTCCATATAGCTTGCAGTATACTGGACATCTGTGAAAAAGAGCTTCAAATGATCAGAGTGTTTTTTGTTTGCATTTTGACCACAAAGCATTGTGGTTAATGCACACATGATTCCTTGTAAAAGGTTTCAGTTTTGTTGCCAAAAAGGGGGGAAACCCCTATTATTATATTTTGGTACTAGCAAAGGAGGTCTAATGATGTAGATGCTTACCCCGAGCCCTCATTACTTTGATAGTGCATTGTCTTTGAGCTGGACGCCTTTTGGCGTCCTCTGGTCTAGCACCAATTGAGAGAAGGCTCAAAAGAAAGCCGTCTCTGGGGTGGACCAATCAGTTTCAAGGACAATGCATATATTATCAGTGTGTTTTTTGTTTGCATTCTGACCACAAGTATTGTGGTTAATGCAGACATGATTTCTTGTCGAAAGGTTTCAGTTTTGTTGCCAGAAAAAAGGGGGAACCCCCTATTATTATTAAGAGCTTCATAGTTAATCGGCTTCCTCCTGTTTAAATACATATTCTGATGTGCCTCGAATTCGAAACGTTTTGTACAACACCTTGAAATGTGGTTGTATTTACACGCTGTTGCATTGCTCGTCGTTTTGATTCATGTGCACATTTCTGTTTGCCCGATAGCCTACATATGTAGCACGATAATATCTTTTGCGTACACTGAAAAACATCCTTGCGCTCCAAACACGTGCTGCGAGCCGTGACAAGCACCACGACAATGAGTGATGAGTGATTGCGACGTTGCATTCCTTAGCCAGGGCCAACTCGAGGTTCTTGGAGGCCGTCCATAAATGACGTCACGCGATTTTGGACGATTTTTGACCGCCCCCCCTCGTCACACGGCGTCACAAAAAGTCAGACCCCCCCCCCCGCCTCAAATATGACGTCACAAAGCTCTGCCCCCCCCCCCCATAAAAAAGTAAAACATGCTTCAAATCGCTTTAAACTATTGTCATTGTAGTGCGTATTTAATGTGCCGCTGCACTCTGATGTAGGAGAAAACATCAAAAAGTATATTTCACTAAGTAGAACGTGTTGTCTACATTTATTTACGTGACGTCACATTTCTCAAACCCACCGCCCCCTCGTCACACATCGTCACAAATGTCTGAACCCCCCCCCCCCCACCTAGGTGCGTGATGTCATTTATGGACGGCCCCCAAAGCCACATTTGGGGCCCCCTTTATTTCACCATCCACAGGCCCCGGTGTGGCCGACTCTCTTATTGTGTGAATCCCCGGGGGCAAATTGCTCCTTTCGCCCACCGAAATGTGGGTGGCCCCACTCCAATCTATCGACATGGGGCGTTGGGGCGCCGCCCTACCAAGCAGCTGGAGATGATACATTTTTTTTGTTTATAAAATAAATACTTTTCTATACATTGCTTAGTTATGTTTCAATTTTTTTTTCAAGTAGAATGATTGTTTCAACGTGAATTGCCTAATGAAGATAACATTTTAAGTTGTTCATATTAGAAACAGCTGCAACACCACAGTCCAAGGCCGTAGCCATGGAGTCAACATTGGGGGGGACCAAATCTTCCAGGGGTTCTGGGGGTCCACCCCCCCCCCCAGAAAAATAAAATCTAAATTTGAAAACTCATTTCCTGCCATTTCTTCTAATAGTGTATTGTATTACATTGCTCTGTTTTTGCTTTCTTACCCTTTCTTGTTTCATTGTATGTAATGGCAGAGATTAGGGATTAATAAAGTACAACCATAATCACAATCATGTAAACAGAAATCTATTTTATAGCAATATATTGGGAGGGACATTTTGAGCATATTTGAATATGGGGGGGGGGGGGGGGATGTGTCCCCCCAATATATTATTATTATTACGGCCTTGCTGCAGTCTGATTTGTGCCTCGGGCAAGTCTCGGGGCGGCTGTGAAGACGTCCGAGTGAGAGATGTTCCCCTTCATTCACTGCGATCAGCTTCTAGCATTTTCACCACACCGTTTGAGACCCATTCCGGGGGGTGAAAAGGGCACCCATGGCTGTAATGAGACGATGTCACAACGCGAGGTCGCACTGTGCAAATATAGCAGCTCACTCTCTACACGCTCGAGGAGGAAACAGCAATAGCGACGGCAGCAGGTGCAGCAAACGAAAAATTAGCAACGAACAATGTGGAGTCACTCCTAAATATTTTATTTGAACGGATTTGTTGAGTCTTGTCAGCCGATCTTTAATAGTTCTTTCAGCTTTTGCAAGTGTCAAAGGGGTTGTGTAGTGTGGACTTGAGGGTCATGGGAACAGCATGTGAGTGTTTTATTGTTTTGTTTCCTATTGTTTATAAATGCTTATCGCTAGAAGATAAGTCAATTATATCACTTTCACGGAAAGGCCAACACCATGACGAGTTTTTTAAAAAATCCTTTATATTAAGTTCGCTTGCTTGCTTGCTTGCGTGCTTGCTTGCTTGCTTACGACCGTGCAAATTTTTCGGTCGTTTTTTAACCCACTTCCCGTGATCCAATCGAGCTGACATTTTCCACACAGACTTGTTGTGTGTGACAATTAAGTTCGTGAAAAAAAAATCCAAAATTTTACACTGTTTAGGGAAAACAAATTAAATATTTAATTACCAATTGCTTAATGCTGGCAGACAATCATCTGACTCATAGGTGGCAGCCATCTCAAGCCAGAGGACGAGAGGACTCTAGCCACCACGCATATAAAGGATTTATAGTGAAAAACTTTGTTTTTACGGGTTAATTTTTTAATAATTAGAACACCAAATTTTCAGAGGTCACTCACAACAGCCCCACCTAGTGGCAATGGCGGGTGATTGCAGGGTACAAACAGATTTTCATTGTGGGGAGTGGGGGGGCACACATTTTACAGGCGAAGGTGCTTGATATTAATGGCGGGCTGCTACGGGGCACTGATTTTAATTGGATGGTGGGGACTGATTTTAATTTATGGGAGGGCTGCGGGGTCTGGACCCCAATGCCCCCCCGTGCCTCACCCCCAATGCCCCCCCCCCCCGTGCCTCACGCCCAATGCCCCCCCCGTGCCTCACCCCCAATGCCCCCCCCCTCGTGCCTCACCCCCAATGCCCCCCCCCCGTGCCTCACCCCTAATGCCCCCCCCCGTGCCTCACCTCCAATGCCCCCCCCCGTGCCTCACCCCAATGCCCCCCCTCGTGCCTCACCCCCAATACCCCCCTCGTGCCTCACCCCCAATGCCCCCCCCAGTGCCTCACCCCCAATGCCCCCCCGTGCCTCACCCCCAATGCCCCCCCCCCGTGCCTCACCCCCAATGCCCCCCCCCGTGCCTCACCCCCAATGGCCTCACCCCAATGCCCCCCCCGTGCCTCACCCCCAATGCCCCCCCGTGCCTCACCCCCAATGCCCCCCCCCGTGCCTCACCCCCCAATGCCCCCCCCCCGTGCCTCACCCCCAATGCCCCCCCCCCGTGCCTCACCCCCAATGCCCCCCCCCCGTGCCTCACCCCCAATGCCCCCCCCGTGCCTCACCCCCAATACCCCCCTCGTGCCTCACCCCCAATGCCCCCCCCGTGCCTCACCCCCAATGCCCCCCCGTGCCTCACCCCCAATGCCCCCCCCCGTGCCTCACCCCCAATGCCCCCCCCGTGCCTCACCCCCAATGCCCCCCCCCGTGCCTCACCCCCAATGCCCCCCCCCCGTGCCTCACCCCCAATGCCCCCCCGTGCCTCACCCCCAATGCCCCCCCCGTGCCTCACCCCCAATGCCCCTCCCCCCCCTCGTGCTGGCCCCACCCGCAGCTCAGAAGCGCGAGTGCAGCACCACAACCCCAGTGCGAGGTCTCTTTTCCGCGTGCGGCGCAAAGACGAGAAACACGAGCCTGTGTCTTGTTACGGCAGAGGGGATGGGGGCCCCCTCTCGCTCGTCACGTGGCGGAGCATTGGATCCCTCCGATTGGCGGAGAGGTATATCACGTGACGTAGGGGGCCAGCTTCACGTGCCATGGCGGAGGGGACAGCGGCGGGATCCCCGGACGAGGCGTGGAAGGTGAGACACGGAGACACACAGAGACACACAGACACAGAGACACACACAGACACACAGACACGGAGACACACAGAGACACACAGAGACACACAGACACACAGAGACACAGAGACACAGACACGGAGACACAGAGACACACAGAGACACAGACACAGAGACACACAGAGACACAGACACAGAGACACAGACAGAGACACACAGAGACACAGACACAGAGACACAGAGACACACAGAGACACACAGAGACACACAGACACACAGAGACACACAGAGACACACAGACACACAGACACACAGACACGAGACACAGAGACACACAGAGACACAGACACAGAGACACACAGAGACACAGACACAGAGACACACAGAGACACAGACACAGAGACACACAGACACACAGAGACACACAGACACACAGAGACACACAGAGACACAGACACAGAGAACACAGACACACAGACACACAGACACAGAGACACACAGAGACACACAGAGACACAGAGACACACAGCACGGAGACACACAGAGAACACAGACACACAGAGACACACAGAGACACACAGAGACACACAGACACACAGAGACACAAGAGACACACAGAGACACACAGAGACACAGACACGGAGACACACAGAGACACACAGAGACACACAGAGACACAGACACACAGAGACACGGAGACACACAGCAGGAGACACACAGAGACACAGACACACAGAGACACACAGACACACACAGACACAGAGACACACAGAGACACACAGACACACGGAGACACACAGAGACACACAGACACACAGACAGGCGACACACAGACACACAGAGACACAGAGACACACAGAGACACAGAGACACACAGACACAGAGACACACAGACACAGAGACACACAGAGACACAGACACAGAGACACACAGACACACAGAGACACAGAGACACACACAGACACAGAGACACACAGAGACACAGAGACACACAGACACACAGACACACAGAGACACACAGACACAGAGACACACAGACACAGAGACACACAGAGACACACAGAGACACACAGAGACACACAGAGACACACAGACATACAGACACAGAGACACACACAGACAAAGAGACACACAGACACAGAGACACACAGACACAGAGACACACAGACACAGAGACACACAGACACAGAGACACACAGACACAGAGACACACAGACACAGAGACACACAGACACAGAGACACACAGACACAGAGACACACAGACACAGAGACACACAGACACACAGACACACAGACACAGAGACACACAGACACAGAGACACACAGACACAGACACACAGACACAGAGACACACAGACACACAGACACACAGACACAGAGACACACAGACACAGACACAGACACAGACACAGACACACAGACACAGAGACACACAGACACGGAGACACAGAGAGTGAGACAGGGAGAGTGTGAGACAGAGAGAGACACAGAGACAGAGAGTGAGACAGAGACAGAGAGAGACAGAGATACACAGAGACACAGAGAATGAGACGCAGAGTGAGAGACACAGAGAGACAGAGAGAGTGAGACACAGAGACACAGTGAGACAGAGAGTAAAACAGAGAGACACAGAGTGAGACAGAGAGTGAGACCGAGAGAGACAGAGACACAGAGAGTGAGACACAGAGACACAGACAGAGAGAGTGAGACAGAGACACAGAGTGAGACAGAGAGTTACACAGAGCGTGACAGTGACACACAGTGAGACACAAGGTAGTCAGACAGTTAGAGACAGAGTGAGACACGGAGACAGAGTGAAACACAATGAGAAAGTGAGAGACAGAGTGAGAGACAGAGTGAGAGACAGAGTGAGAGACAGAGTGAGAGACAGAGTGAGAGACAGAGTGAGAGACAGAGTGAGACACAGAGTGAGACACAGAGACAGAGTGAAACACAATGAGACAGTGAGAGACACAGTGAGACAGTGAGAGACACAGTGAGACAGTCAGAGACAGAGTGAGACACAGAGACAGACAGTCAGAGACAGAGTGAGACACAGAGACAGACAGTGAGACACAGAGTGAGACACAGAGACAGACAGTGAGAGACAGAGTGAGACACAATGAAACACAATGAGACAGTGAGAGACATCGTGCGAGAGAGCGTTGAGGCACGAGGGAGAGACACAATGTGTCTGTGTGGGGGTAAAAGAGTGACGAGATTGTGAGCACGAGAGGGGTGGTGGTGTGCGGGAAGTGAGGAGGGAGAGTCGGGGTGAGAGGTGGTGCAGTGGTTGTGTGTTTTTATGGTTTTATGGTTATTGTGCTTGCTGTGGTTGTTTGTTAGGGGTGGTTGTGGTTGCTAGTGGTGGTTGTTAGTGGTGGTTGTTAGTGGTGGTTGTGGTTGCTAGTGGTGGTTGCTAGTGGTGGTTGTTAGTGGTGGTTGTGGTTGTTAGTGGTGGTTGTGGTTGCTAGTGGTGGTTGTGGTTGCTAGTGGTGGTTGTGGTTGCTAGTGGTGGTTGTGGTTGCTAGTGGTGGTTGTGGTTGCTAGTGGTGGTTGTGGTTGTTAGTGGTGGTTGTTAGTTGTGGTTGTTAGTGGTGGTTGTTAGTGGTGGTTGCTAGTGGTGGTTGTGGTTGTTAGTGGTGGTTGTGGTTGCTAGTGTTGGTTGTGGTTGCTAGTGGTGGTTGTGGTTGTTAGTGGTGGTTGTGGTTGCTAGTGGTAGTTGTGGTTGCTAGTGGTGGTTGTTAGTGGTGGTTGTGGTTGCTAGTGGTGGTTGTGGTTGCTAGTGGTGGTTGTGGTTGCTAGTGGTGGTTGTGGTTGCTGGTTGTGGTTGCTGGTTGTGGTTGCTGGTTGTGGTTGCTAGTGGTGGTTGTGGTTGCTAGTGGTGGTTGCTAGTGGTGGTTGTTAGTGGTGGTTGTGGTTGCTAGTGGTGGTTGTTAGTGGTGGTTGTTAGTGGTGGTTGTGGTTGTTAGTGGTGGTTGTTAGTGGTGGTTGTTAGTGGTGGTTGTTAGTGGTGGTTGTTAGTGGTGGTTGTTAGTGGTGGTTGTTAGTGGTGGTTGTTAGTGGTGGTTGTTAGTGGTGGTTGTTAGTGGTGGTTGTGGTTGTTAGTGGTGGTTGTGGTTGTTAGTGGTGGTTGTTAGTGGTGGTTGTGGTTGCTAGTGGTGGTTGTGGTTGCTAGTGGTGGTTGTGGTTGCTAGTGGTGGTTGTGGTTGTTAGTGGTGGTTGTGGTTGTTAGTGGTGGTTGTGGTTGCTAGTGGTGGTTGTGGTTGCTAGTGGTGGTTGCTAGTGGTGGTTGTGGTTGCTAGTGGTGGTTGTGGTTGCTAGTGGTGGTTGCTAGTGGTTGTTGTGGTTGTTAGTGGTGGTTGTTAGTGGTGGTTGTGGTTGTTAGTGGTGGTTGTGGTTGCTAGTGGTGGTTGTGGTTGCTAGTGGTGGTTGTGGTTGCTAGTGGTTGTTGTGGTTGTTAGTGGTGGTTGCTAGTGGTGGTTGTGGTTGCTAGTGGTTGTTGTGGTTGTTAGTGGTGGTTGTGGTTGCTAGTGGTGGTTATGGTTGCTAGTGGTGGTTGTGGTTGCTAGTGGTGGTTGTGGTTGCTAGTGGTGGTTGTGGTTGCTAGTGGTGGTTGTGGTTGCTAGTGGTGGTTGTGGTTGCTAGTGGTGGTTGTGGTTGCTAGTGGTGGTTGTGGTTGCTAGTGGTTGTTGTGGTTGTTAGTGGTGGTTGTTAGTGGTGGTTGTGGTTGCTAGTGGTTGTTGTGGTTGTTAGTGGTGGTTGTGGTTGCTAGTGGTTGTTGTGGTTGTTAGTGGTTGTTGTGGTTGTTAGTGGTGGTTGTGGTTGCTAGTGGTGGTTGTGGTTGCTAGTGGTGGTTGTGGTTGCTAGTGGTGGTTGTGGTTGCTAGTGGTGGTTGTGGTTGCTAGTGGTGGTTGTGGTTGCTAGTGGTGGTTGTGGTTGCTAGTGGTAGTTGTGGTTGCTAGTGGTTGTTGTGGTTGTTAGTGGTGGTTGTTAGTGGTGGTTGTGGTTGCTAGTGGTTGTTGTGGTTGTTAGTGGTGGTTGTGGTTGCTAGTGGTGGTTGTGGTTGCTAGTGGTTGTTGTGGTTGTTAGTGGTGGTTGTGGTTGCTAGTGGTGGTTGTGGTTGCTAGTGGTTGTTGCTAGTGGTGGTTGTGGGGATCGGTTAGCGCTCCGCGTTGCCACGAACCCGGCGACTCGGTTATCTGAACCGGACTTTGGGCCTTTCCTAGGTCGACTCAGCCTCAAATGAGAACTTAGTGCGGTGTGTAAACATCGCCACTTAGGGAGACAAAGGCGGCCGGGCGTGGTTGTTGCCCACCGCCCCCGCTCGTGTGCCGTGCCGGCCTTCATAGGTGCTCGCTAACAGCACTTGTACCCAACACTGTTACAGGCGACACGGGGGTGGGAATCTTTGTTTTTGTTGTGGCCGTGCTGAACTTGTTTTTTGTGTGTCCTCGTTTCTGCCTCCGGGGGCTTCGCAGAGTTGGAGGAACTCCCCGACTCGACCGCAGGAATTGGCTGAGCCGAGCGAGGCGCGTGACAACCGCGACCACCGACCAATAATTGTGCACCAAGTGAACTTTTACCGCATCTAAATGCGGCCGCATCTCAAGATCCCTTTCATAAGCAAACCGTGCTGTTTATTTTCATAGGCAAGGCAGGCAGTGGTATGGCAGAGACGGGCGAAAATAGTCAGGTCTTGAGCCCTGGACTGAACGGGCAAAGGCGGTCGATGGGCATGGGGATGGCTGGGGAGAAAGAAACGTCAGGCCATGCGGATAGCAGAGCAGAATAAATAATATCCAACAAAGATAATAGGGTTTTCCCCTTTCTGGCAATAAAACTGGTGTTAATGTGTGAAAACACCAAACTGACACCTTTGCAAGGAATCATGTCTGCATTAACCACATACTTGTGAACATGCAAACAAAAAAACATGCTTTGACAGTATGTGCATTGTCTTTGAAATGGATTGGTCCACAACAGAGACAGCTTTCTTGAGAGCCTAGCCTCAAACGGTGTTAGACCAGAGGACGCCAAAAGGCGAACAGCACAAAGACAACACCACTATCAGGACAGTGAGAGCTCGGGGTGAGCAGCTACATCATGAGACCTCCTTTGCCAGTATTAAATTATAATAGGGTTTTCCCCTTTCTGGCAATAAAACGGGTGTTAAGATGTAGATGTTAAAATACCAAACTGGCACCTTTGCAACGAATCATGTCTGCATGAACCACATGTACTTGTGGTGAACATGCAAACAAAAAAACATGCTCCGACAGTATGTGCATGGTCTTTGAAACTGAGTGAAGGGTGATTTGGCGTTTCGACAAAGCCTTGGTTGCTGGAGTGGAGAGTGCACGGACGGGAGCTGTCGGCAGGTGCACTCTTGAAGTTGATCTGAGATTGGATCGGGGACCCTTGGGAGTGATTGGGGGATGTGGTGCGCGTTTAGGGTGTGGGTGGGAATATGTTTTATGATCTGAAGTTTGGAGATGATTTGATTTGGAGAGGCTGTAGAGTTGCAATAATGGAGTTTATGGGGGGTGGGGGGGGGCGTATGAGGTCTTGCAGAGTCTATGTGTTGGGAAGTGAACGAGAGCACTGATTTAAGGATGAGCTTTCGGGTGCTCTTCACCAGTGACGACGTGAGAAGAGTGTAAGAGTGAGATGCAGTGAATTTAGGATGTGCACAATCCGTGTTTGCCAACTGGACTTTTACCGATAAAGTGCTATTGTTTAGCAACATTTAGCTGCGGGAAGTTAGAATCAATCCAATCTGAAGACGTCAGTTACGCAGAAAAACTGCGAATAAAGAGGTATCGTGAAGAGATGGAAAATGCTTAAATATGACAAGGATCATTCTTATAAAGAAGTAATTTCTTGATGTATTACTGGTCATTGGAATGTTTGGAGAGGGTTCATTTTCTCTAACGATGTAATTGTTTAACCTTTAAGCCTGTGCCTCCACACTCCTGCCTACATAGCTCCTGCAAGGTTTCCTTAAACGGAAATACAGGAACATTCTGCAGCATTAATAAGTTTGACAGCTGTGAATTATGTATACAAATTCTACCCCCCCCCCCCTCCATTGTGGATACCCACAGTTCTGGTGGCGAGACTGTTAACTACCTCGCCTGGTATCGAGGTCGTGGGTTCGATCCCGACCCTGACGCCTGCTGTATATTTGGAGTTTGTATGTTCACCCTGTGGGCGCAAAAATCCGGGTCCTCCGATTTTCCCCTCCACATTTAGAAAGATGCGTTTAGGGTATTTGGCTGCAATACATTTCCACAAACCACCACTTCGTTAAGCTGTCGTTAGTGGCCAGGACGCTTCTGAAAAATAGCTGCTATGTAGCTCAGTGGGCCTTACCTGGTAAAATAGAAAGTAGTTCGTTAATCGTTTAATGCAGGGGTGGGGAACGTCCGGCCCGTGGGCCGTATAAGACCCGTGAAATCATTTGGTGTGGCCCTGCCAAGGCAACCGCAGGCAGGACTCGAAATTCAATACATCTAGGAGCAAATCTGGAAAAGCAGTTGCGAGTAGCAACAACATCATCAACACCAGCTAACATCACCACGCCTCGCCAAAGAGAAGCAGTTCCAGCCATAACATTAGGGGTGAATTAATTATATGTTTGACAAAATATAACAGGCCAAATTTTTAAGTTGATAATTTTGTATGGCCCGCGAATGATGTTGTAAATATCCAAATGGCCCTTGGCAGAAATAAGGTTCCCTACCCCTGGTTGAATGTAACAAAGTGTAAGATGTTTTAGGAGTACCGTGTGTATGGGGGTGTGCTGTTCCACACACACGGGTGGAGGGAAACATCTCCATATAAACATTTCACACATCACACGTTTTTCGTACCAACACGTATTTTTTGCGATGTTGAGTGACCCGAAATAGCTGGCCGTGCACTCAGTGCAGCAGCTGGGTGCATTTGGCCAGATTGTTACACGTCAGCTTGGAGGTGTTAATAATTAACTTAACATGATATTAAAACCTGTCGGTGCCTCCATTACAGCTGTTACAGTTTCATAGACTTTGGAGCTCACAATTTAGTATCTACCTTTTATTGCAAAACGTGCAGTGGGTTTCGGCGATCTCATATGATGTAAAATTATTGCCTCTCTCTGGGGAGTCCCCTAACGAATGTCTCCATTCTCCTTTTCCAACAGGGATCTTCTCTTCATGCCAATCACTCCGACCAGAGCTTCAGTGACAGTGGCTTTGACCAGTGTAAGGTTATTACCAATAAAAAATACAACCCCAAACCAGGTCCAAACACTATCAATTCTGCAATCCAGATGTGCCCAGACTGTAGACAATTCCAAACTCTCACCCACCCAACTCCTACCACACACGTGCCGTGCAGTCCCACAATGATTACGTAAAAAATATCTGAAGTGTCATGATGGGATTAGAGACCATTTCATATTTGCTCATCAGTCATCATAAGCAATGTAAATTCCATACAATTATCGAACATGAATATTGCAGTGGGGCTCGAGATAAATGAAAAAAAGTCCTTCAAAAGTTTTCTAAACAATTGAAAAAATACATATCGGAGGGATATAACTGAAAAATACATGAAGAGTATATATACCTCGGGAAGTTATTGAAGGTGCACCGAGATAAATATGTATATATAAAGAGACCATTGATCGCAGGTTGGACTTTTTTAAACGTTTAATAATTAAAGACAACAATGTGCCTCCGTTATTTATCATTATATATTATCTATTTGACATACGGATCAGAAACATGGCCATTGAAAAGAAAGTAGAACAATCTGCAAAGTGCTCAAATAAGCATGGAGATGTGTATGCTTAGACTGATAAAAATAACACTGATTAGAGGACATATCAGTTAAAGACATATTGACTTAAGTGGGCTCAGGCAGGGCACGTCACGAGAAGAGGGTCTGTGGTCGACTTATTATGTAGTGGAGCATAAATGAGGACGCATGTTTGAAATACTTCCAGAGATTGAACGATGAGACAGTCATAATTCATGCACTGAAGTTTGATGGAATGCAGCATTGCATGGTAATGGCATGAGGCCTTCAAACAAGTAGAAAAAGTATGTTAATGATAATCCAGTGCTTTATCTTGAGAAACATCACTTCTATATTGACATTTGAGGTTGGGATTTGTTGGCTGCAAATCAGTATTAATGGTACTTTGCTGTTTCACTGTCTCAGTCTTTGCAGATAGCATAGTCAAGGGAGGAGTTGTTTCACGTACCAACAGCATCAACTCCAACACGGGCTCCAACAGTGCTTCCTCCGTTCCCAACACAGGTTTGTGTATTACGCCAATTGTGCAGTGTCAATAACAAAGCTGTCGGGTAAAGCCCATGCAGTTGGAAAATAGCCAAGCACTTGTTATGATGGAAGGCTTGCCTTGCTTCCCCTCTGTGTGCAGATGATGAAGACAGCGACTACAGGCAAGAGCTGACGTACAAAGACCGCCGGCGTCAAGCTCACACCCAGGCTGAGCAAAAGCGACGGGATGCCATTAAGGTATTGTTCCTTTTAATACTGTGAAGAACTTGATGTTTTATCAAACCTATGGTCAATGCAGCATCTCCCGTGTAAAATGGTTGCTGTAGTCTGCATTTTTGCCTGTATACTGTGCTTGGCTGAAGAACAATTGTCTTTACAGAAAGGCTATGAAGATCTGCAGGCCATTGTGCCCACCTGTACGCAGCAGGACCTCATTGGCTCCCAGAAAATGAGTAAAGCCACTGTGCTCCAGCGTTGTACGTATTTCACTTTGTTGCTGTTAATTGTGCACCTTCATGGCTAAATTGTGTTTTGCTTTTACCAGTTTTGCAAAACTTTTCATGACTAAGATTATTTTTTAAAGGGTAATGCCCAGCTTTGTGCACTGTTGTGTGTATTATTGTTGCAGCCATCGATTACATACATTTCCTCCACAAGGAGAAGAAGAAGCAGGAGGAGGAGTTGTCAACTCTGCGGAAAGAAGTTCTTGCCCTAAAAATCATGAAATCGTAAGAGTCTTACGGAAAATCATTTATTATCATTTACCTGTATTTGCCCCATTGTTGTGTAAGCAATAGCAAATCTCCATAGGGTATCAACGATTGCACGTTTATTTGTATTGTTGCAGGAACTACGAGCAGATTGTGCGTGCCCACCAGAGCAATCCACAGCAGGGCCAGGAGCAGGTGTCAGATGAAGTGAAGTTCAGCATCTTCCAGGGTATCATGGATACTCTGTTCCAGTCCTTCAATGCCTCCATTGCAGTGTCCAGCTTCCAGGAGCTGTCTGCCTGTGTCTTCAGTTGGTTGGAGGAGCACTGCAAGCCACAGGTACGTGTAACCTAACCAGCACCTGCAGTGAATGCTTTGGGCGTTGCCACTTAACTCGGATGTGAACAGATACATACAATTGTGAATTAGCTTTAAATGTAGCTGTTGTAAACAGTTGTGAAAGCGGCCACAAATCAATGACAGGAGTGTTATGTTGCCATTGCAGACCCTGCGGGAGATCGTCCTCGGGGTGCTAAGGCAGCTCAACCCCCAGCACTACTGATGTCCCCGTAGATGATGCTGGGGCTGGGCCCACACTGCCACCATTTGATCACTCTGGACTATATACACAAAGCGTAGCGAGTGGCACCCTTCAACTGTGCTGCTTACTTTTATTAATAAGCTGCAAAACTTGCATGTGATTTAAAGGGAAACATCTCTACTTGCCTAAGTGTTTTCTACTGGGAATGTGAATTGTATTTTTTTATGTTTATCCTTTCAACAGTTTATCTGCAACTGAATTGTGTTTGACTTTCTGTTTTAACTGTTTATGTATTGTGGAAAACAGCCAAATTTGTGCCTTATACATGTGTAAACCTGCCTCATGCACTACGCTACACCATCTATATTCTTGCAAAAACTTTACTATAACTGTATCTACTTTTGAGACTTGCAAATGAAATAACATTTATTTATGTGTTATACACATTCACCTGATGTGTGCATGTGGAATGAAAGATATTTTCCATTATATCTGGTGGTCACTTTTGCTAATTATTGACGTTTTAATTTGATTTGGAATGTGAAAGAACAATTCCAGAAACTTAACTTCACAATAATGTGCTTCACTGAAGCACTTTGATTCCACGATATACAGGAAGTGTTGACAGCATTACTCAATGGATAAACCAGGAACCTTTAAAGTTTTGGCAAACGCCATAATTACTGCCTTTATACTGCTCAGGAATATCAATTAACTTTTATTTGCAATTAACAAAATTTATTATTCAGCATATAGCAGTCAAGTTTCATGGTTGGAGAAATGCCCATTACAAATTGCAAGCAATTTACTTAAGTATTTTTTATTTTTCAAGATTTTTTTTACAAGGCTCTAGCGCTCTTTTCGTATAAACTAACATGGTATTTGATAAAGATTTTAATAGGTAAAAATCTGTCTCATGAAACCCCCAACCATCAATTGTACAACCCACATGCAGTTTTTGTAATGTCATTTTGTTAAACCATTAAGTCATTTTAATGTGAACAACTTTATAACATCTCTAGTATTACTCAAGAAAAGCTAAACCCTGTTTTGACTCCGTATTCATTTACACGCAAGTTCTGCATATGCATTTACAGAAAACGAATGGCTAGGAAGGAAACATATACAAAGTTACAAATGCCTTAAACCCCCACCACACTTTATAAACAAACTTTCCTCCACACTCTGTGCCATTTTGGCAGTCTTTGATTGGCAGTCTATTATTACCTTTGGTGTTAAAATCATCAAGGAAATGAGGGCAGTTGCCCTCACTTATTTCGGAAGCGCTTGAAGAGAGGGTGCAGCACTTTGCCACCCATAGACGACTTGGAACGTGGGACCTGGTACTCCAAGTACATAGCATTGTCAGCTCCAGACATGGAACTCATGCTGCCCACACGCCGTGACATCTGCACACAAAGTCACACCATAATCTCAATCTTAACCCATATATCTGGCATTATCTACAAAAACAAGTGATTTACATGCAGGTATGGATGCATTCAAATTAGTATTGCAATGCAAAGTATTGTTATGTATGAATTAATTATACAAATGGTTAGTCTCTTGCAAGAGCTTTCATGCTGTATCCAAGCACAAGTCTGCGACCGAAGTAATACCTGTGATCGAGGCCCGCCAAATTCACCGGCCACGATCTCCTCCTCAGCGTCCAGATCGGAGGCAGCGAGCACTTTCTGAAGCAGCTGTTGCTGTTCATCCTTGGTAGAGAACATGAGTTCTCCTTCCTCCATGCCTGCAAGCTTTGTAATCACCTGCACAAGTAGTTGACAGAAGACATCTCACCATTTATTATGTTCAAACTCCAGCTAATCAGCCTTATCAAGTGCCTGAAATTTGGACTGGGAAATTGGGCAATCACTTTTTAAATGTAATTTTCACACCATGGACAATGAGCATCGTTTTATGAGGAGTTTTATACTACATTTAATTTTGTTGGATAAAGGCCTCTCCATGCAGTGTCAATTATGGAGATGTTTTTGACCATGCTTCATGATTTGTCAGTGCAGAGGGGGGGGGTCGCACCCAGCACTTTATTGGACATCACTTGACACGAATGTTAGCTGTGGCTGAGAATCAAACTCAGGACACTGGGTTCAGAGGACAGTGCAGTAGCCACTGTCAATGCTTCACCCAATGCTGCATTGATATCGAAGAGCGTAACCAAAGGGAATTGCATTTCGTGAACAGAAATTGTTCCTGAACCAATGTTTGGAACCTACTTTGAAGCTGTAACCCTGGTCCACAAGGAAGCGCTGTCGTTTGGCCGAATAGGCCATCTCCTGGGTATCCTGAGATACGAGTGAGTAGAAATAAGCGTTGTACTCCTCTGCCACCATGCCTGCAGGGAAAACACAAGTTTAGAATTTGTCCTAGGCTCTTGGTGCTTCATCGAAAGACGTTGCAACATGGACCCTACCAACCTTTTTTAGCACGCAAGACTCGGCCAAGCCGTTGTGCCTCTTGGCGCCGTGATCCTCCATGGGACGAGATCTGGATAAGCACATTAGCCTCGGGCAGGTCAAAGGATGTGTCGCCAACCTACACACACACACACAACCGCAACATGTCTCCTGAAGGATTGTAGATTTTTTTAGGCAGAGCATATGCACTGCACATGTCAGGGATTCTTGGCTGATGTCAATTGAAAACAATGTGTAGAAATACAGACCTTTGAAATAAAGATGGTGTTTATTTTGGGATTGTGCTTGAAATTCTGTAGGATCTGCATACGCTCGCCTTGTGAAGTTGGCCCATAAATATATGGCCTGTAAAAAGTGATTCAAAATGTTGGTGTACATCATATTGCTACATAAATCAGAAAAAAACATTAAATGCATAGCATTCCATTTAGTAAAAATAACACAATTTTGGTATATGTCTTAAAATGTAATTTTCAACTAATTTACAATCTTTTATATAGTGCCCTTTATGCTAGCATGTCACAGAGCACTTTACAACCGAAAAGAAACTGGCATCTCATATCCAACATTTAAAATAGCATCCCTGTGTCTGCTGTCCCTGGGCACAATGTGACTCAGGATCTAGCCTACAAATGGGCATTAGTCTGCCAGTAGGGGAGGGTGATGATTGCTCCAATGTGTAATCCCAATTGAATAATTTGGATGTTCACATCTTTCCCACGAACACAGCAGGGAAATGTGTTGATGGGAGCACCCACTTGTTGAGCCGTACTGCATACTCCTTGAGTGCAAACACGTTGTCTGCAAACACGATGACCTTGTCGTTGCGGCGCTCGTGGAAGCGGATCAGAAACTGGCAGGCGCGGAACTTGTTTGGGTTCATTACATAGAGCAGCAGCCGCTTCTTGGTCCGGGTTGACACGTACTCCCGGTAAAATTCCGGGGTCATGGGACACCACACCTTGGCGGACAGCCGGTGTCAGTGTGAGGCAAATATAACAGACTCAACTGTGCTACAGCCAACTGCTATTGCATTGGTGGGGGAATGTTTAATTTTTTGGAAGTGTAATTGCCATTCTTGAGAAACGAACTATTCCCAACATTCTTCTTTATTTTAATAAGCTTTGAACAACCACAAATTAGACAATACAATTGAGAGGTAATTATGAAATAAAGTAATTTCATGGTAATCAAACATCATACTCCATCGGGCAGCTCTTAAAAGCTGTGAATTTCTGAACCTCTCTCCACTCACCTCGGCACACTGCACCTTAGCAATGTAACCAGCATTCTGCAGCTCCATCCAGTTGGCTTCGTACAGTTTGGGGCCAATGAGGAAGTTGAGGTCAACGATCTTGTCGTCCTCGCGCACCAGTGTGGCCGTAAGGCCCAGCTTGCAGTGCGCCTGCACAATGGTCAGCACCCGGCGGAACATGCGAGCTGCGGGTTGAGGGAGGCAGCGGGCAATTCGGGTGATTGCAAATATATTGACACTTGAAAAATGTTAAGTGGATCGTTCACTGTAACGTGTTAAGCATGATAATAGTTTTTTTACCCTTTTATCTGGCAACAAAACTGACACCTTTTTTTTTACAAGCGCCTTTGGCGTCATCTGGTCCAACACCATGTGAGACTAGGCTCTAAGGAAAGCTGTCGCGGGTGTGGACCAATCAACTTCAAGGACAGTGCATACATTATCAGAGTTATGTTTTTTGTTTGCATTATGACTGCAGGTATTGTGGTCTATGCAAACATGACTCCTTGTAAAAAAGGTGTCAGTTTTGTTGCCAGATAAAAGGGTAAAAAAAAATTATCATATTTTTTACTGGCAAATGAGTTTCCAATGGTGTTAAGCATGCTGCATATATTTCTTCATAAGAGTTTACCTGGAATGGTGTGGACCTCATCCAGAAGCATTAGTCCCCACTCCTGGCTCTTCATCCAATCCATGACACGCTCTGCCTCCCAAGATCGCTTTGTCGTGTGGCCCAGCATCGAATATGTGCTAATGGCGATTCCACAACCCGATGGCTTGTCCTTGGCATCAGAAGTAAACCGGCAGATTTGGCTCTCATCTGCCGTTGACCACATCCGGAATTGAGCCTTCCACTGTTCCACTGACACCGCAGATGTGCAGAGTACAAGACAGCGCTTTCTGACCGTGCATGCTGCTGTCACACCCACTAACGATTTCCCAGCACCTGCGGATGAAGCAAATGCGTACGTTATAATGAACTTATTTGTAAGGCATAAACTTTTCCAAAAACATTAGGACATTTATTTCTCACAATTTGTACAAAAATTTTCACGTGCCTTATTGTTAAGTAGTTGCATGTAAAATTATGCTTCAAATTTATTTTAGTATATATTTCACGTAAACAACAGGCAAAGTCCTCATGTTGACACACACCACATGGCAGCACAATGACTCCCGAACGGGCTCGGCCATTGCCGAACATCTTCCGGAGGCTCTTCTCCTGGTAAGGCCGCAGCACAGCAGTGGGCTTAAGGTCAATATCAAGGTCTGGGTTGACTGCATCATTTCGGAAGTCGTACTCGGCCAACAATGGAAACTCCATTTCGAATGCAGCGTTTCTGGAGAAGTTCAATTGTGTCCTGCACAAGGCACATGGATCGTGATGAGAAAAGTAAGCATCTGAATCTTGAAAAATTCAAGTTTAAACACCGATATATATATTGTGATCTACGGATGAAATGAGCTTTACAAATGTAAATTATATTAAATGACATTAGATTTGCTCTCACTGTACCTGTTTGATCTCAAAGGAGACGGTATGGGTCTCCACAGCCTCATCCTCATCCTCCTTGTCCATCTGCTCATAGAAGTGGAATATGTCTGATGGGACAACTGTCTGTGCTTCTGTCTGTTCTGAAGTCTGCCCCTGGGATGTGGAGGCTCCATCAGCTCCTCCCGAGCTAGTGGTGCTTGGTTTATTCAGCTTCAACAAGACAAAGCAAAATGTATCTTTATTTCACTCCTTTGAAGTATGACATGTTAGCAATGAAGAACATACATGTTTTGCATTGTGGCCAAGTTCAACAACTTATTTTCAAACTCTTAGGTTTTTTCGGTAAAGTCACATAGGTAAAAATAAATAATCATAATAAATAGAAATAATAATAGAAATAAAATAAATCACGACGTTTCTGGCGCAACACAAGCATCCGTCATCAGGTGGAACAACCACAGCAAGAAACAATTGCTGAAGCTTCAAATCTAGAACTTATTTTCAATATAAAAAATTAACAGTTTTTTGCGTTGCACTACTGCAGTAATAGACTATAGTTATCTTGATTATAGGACTACCAGTCTTATAATCAAGTAATTTCCTCTTCTGATTTGCGAGAAAGTCAGAAGACTACGTTGGAAAGTTTAGGGAAGATTGAGGGAGACTAAAAGAGAACATGGCGAAGTTGTCAACGAGAACATGTGAGGATACTGTGCAGCTGGCTATCGATGGAAACCTGTGGAAAGAGAGAACTCGCAAAGCAGACCCCGCCAAGTGACACAATGCTCGTATTGGGATGCCCCCTGGTGGACGTGACAGATGGTGCTTACTTGTAGGGCTGATTTGCCAGAAAATGTTTCGTTGATGAGGGGTGTCTCCCCCTCCTCAGAGCGCAGTCGACACTGCTTCACCACATCATCCTGCAGCAGTTGCTGAATCACGTCCGGAAAGGCACTCTCCACAAAATACCTGCAGTCGGTCACGTGCTGCTCCATCAACGGTCATATTCACAACTCAACCTCCTGGATAAGATAACCAGTTGACCTCCCACAAAATGGAACACCCTTTTGACAGATAAGCAGACATGATTCCCAAGTGGGATACGAACTTGAAACCTTCCGATAATAAGTTGCGAGTTACCTACAATACTTTTGGTTCATCTACCACATCTTTATGCTCATGCTTTTCTCCAATTTACATTAAATACATCCCCAATCTGTAGATTGCATTCAATTTTTACAACTACTCTAGAATAATTATTGGTTTCTGTTATACAGCGCCATGAGATATAGGTGAACTGAAGATTTATATCGGCAATTTTTATCGTGGTGTAAAAGTAAATAACATCCTTCGGAGATTATTTAAAAAATATTTTTAGCAACATTACCAAATAAAAACAAATATCCACACTTATTTACCTGTTATGCTTCAGTACAAGTTTGACTTTTCCGTAGCTGACTGTGCAGAGCTGCGCAAGAAACATTGTTGAAATTTAGGTGAATACATTGCTGTGCTGTGACTCTACAAGACCCCTGCTGCTTATCACATGTATACATTCATCTCAGTCTTTGCATATACAGTACATGGTGCATAATTGCCTCAGGAACGCAAACATTCAAAAGGAATCCCCAGTGGCAGCTGTCTCAGTGTGGCACAAGACAACGCCGCACTAGCCTGCATGTTGGCATTAATGTGTCCGTAGAGGGAAGTGATTTTTGCTTACAATTCCAATTTACCAATTATTCATAGTTGCCAAATTTTCACTGAGGCCTGCACACAATCACTTTTTTTTTTATTACGTCATGGGATTTTTAAAGTCCAATGTATAAGCATGGCACGTATTTTACGGTTATGACACCCGCGATGTTTCTAGAGACGTGTGTGTCCCATGTACCTGCACTATTCTTACCCTAATGAAGGTGAGTATTCCATCAGGAATGCTGGTCTTGTTCAGTTTCTGGAGGTATTCTATGATGTCAGAGGTTTGGAGGCCGACACTCACAGCGGCATACAGGGAGTACGCCGTTAGCCGGTACTCATGTATACGTGCCGGCCGGCACACAGGCTCCGCGATTGCAATCAAAAAGTCATGTGCATACTTGTACACGGGCGAGAAGGCTTCCAGGAAGATGTGGCCGTCGGGTGCCTGACAAGCATGAGTGATCAAGTTTGATCAGTTTGCAGAATTAAGACATAAAATGCAAAATCACATGTATAAGTAAAGAATCGGCTTCCTGATAAATTAAACATGTACACATTATACGTAAATGCGTTACTTAATCAGTGGACAATCATCCATTGTTAACAAACCTTCATAGAAATGCAACTTAATAATGAACAGTTACATGTAACATGAAGAGCTCACCACCCAGAGGGGGCGTGACGAGTGGTCTTGTTTGAGGGTCATCTGTGAGCGGTAATCTTTGGCTCCAAATTCGTCGATTATTGTGTTTGCCGTCTCCACCTGCCGACCAGCAGCAGTCGGGACTGCCTCTTGCTGATCTTCATCCTCATTAGCCGCCGCCTCCTCCTCCTCGTCCTCATCTTTGCGCTTCCTCCAGCGCTTCCTGTCTGATGGTGCAGGCACGCATAGATCACACAATTACATGCAGGCAACGCAACAAATGTAAAACTCTTATAAGGCAGCTTAACTTCATTATCTGTGTTAAACTCAGGTCGCCAGGTTTATAGTGCACTGTGTTAACCATTGCACCAATGCCCCCAATACACACATTCACACATACACCAGCACACAATTTACATTCCACGCATTCATACATACTCTTAGGCACGTAGGTAAGATGCAGTAAATTTAGCTGACGGTCCTACCTGATGACGGAGACTTGTGTTGCCTCCGAAACGTGATTTATTATTTTATTTCTATTATTACTTCTATTAATTTTATTTTTTTACCTACGTGACTTGACCGAAAAAAGCCTAAGAGTATGAATCCTTGCAGTCACGAAAGCTTCAAATCTAGAACGCATTCATACATTTACGCATATGCATATTGTTATACACATTCAGACACAACAAGTGCCATTTGCCACCGAGGTACGTGACATTACCACAGCGCTGTTGCCATGCTATGTGCACTTTGGAGACATTACGCGGCGAAGGCTCGCTGGCAGGTCACAGTTCAGACCAAGGTGGTTGTGGGTTAACTTGTCTGGCAGATACACAACCAGTGCTGCCCCATAGTGCCACAATGTATTTTAGCCTCCATAGAGGCTGATCGCGACACAATTGGCACCATTCATCGGGAAATCCAATTAGCGCCTTGTCCTACTGCACCATGTCAGCCTGTATTGTGCCCGTCTGGATGGCCAAATAGAAGCTGTTTGCACATTATGTGGGCTACATGGCCCAGCCAACAGAATCAAGTAATGGCGAGCATCTTGTAATCGATCCTGGATAAATCCAAGATAGATCGTAGGCAGGCCAGCCTGAATGTTTCAAGCAGGTGCAGGTGTTCTTGTAATGGGGTCCACATTTTGCAAACATGTAACATAAACTGTTGAACAACAAGACCGGCCAGCTTCTAGCACGATTTCGCAACCCATGAAAACTTGCATACGCATTCATAAATTCACTTTCACACATGCAGACATTGACACTCACTCACACTCGCAGTCCGATACATTCTCAAACACACACTGGCACGCCTATTCCACACGTTCAAGTTCATGTATTAGGTGTAGCCCTGTGAGCCATTCGGCTCTTGAATCGGGTGCAACCGCAACAAACAAAAACATGAACAAGAAAACATCTTAAAGTGAATATGTGACTAAGTGCAAACAGAAAATCCAAGAAAAGACAGCAAAATATTGCAGAAAAAGCACCGTACACCAACACTGTGTGCAAAAATCCCAGTGGGATGCAAGTCAAACAACAATAACCACCACAAGACAACTTAGATTAAGGGCCATCAGTCTAACGTACTCCCACATGCACACTCACACACACCAACACAGAATCGCACACGGACGGACACTCATTATATGCGTGTTAGGATCGATGCTGTCAGCGATCACCACTGAAGACCGGCAGAGTATACGAGGGGTGATGTGGCCCACACATTTGTCTCCCAAGTGGCGATGTTTACACACCGCACCAGTTCCTAATGTGAGGCCAAGGCCCGGTTCAGACAATCGCCACCACCGGTGTTGGCCCTGAGTCGAACTCGGGCTGCCACCACCACCACCACCACCCCCCGGCACTCTCCTCTGTCTCTCTCTTTACACACAGGCTGGCACTACAACACAGGCTGGCACTACAACACAGGCTGGCACTACAACTCGTCTTGCACAGAGACACAGACCCGCACACCCCGAGAGATTCGTCACACAAAGAGAGCGAGACTCGCCACGACACCATCATGAGCGGCACCATCGGACCTAGGCCCGGGCCTCACCGCTCTCATCACCACCATCATCATCACCATCATCATCACCACCATCATCATCACCACCATCACCACCACCATCACCACCACCATCCCTACCACCACCATCACTAACACCACCATCACTACCACCATCACTACCACCACCATCACCACCACACCATCACCACCACCACCATCATCACCATCATCACTACCACCACCATCACCACTACCACCACCATCATCATCACCATCATCATCACCACCACCATCATCACCAGCACCATCACTACCACCACCACCATCACCACCACTACCATCATCACCATCACCACCACCATCATCACCATCACCATCATCACCACCATCATCACCCCAATCATCACCACCACCATCATCACCACCATCATCACCCCAATCATCACCACCACTATCACCACCACCATCACCACCACCACCACTATCACCATCATCACCACTATCACCATCACCACCACTATCACCATCATCATCACCACCATCGCGTCTCGGGGGTGTTGCACGGCGCCACGCACCTTTGTCTCCGCGCTCCCGGTCTCGCTTCCCCATCGCTGCTGGGGGGGGGGGGGCACGCGAGGGGGGGTCACGAGGGGGGCACGGGGGGGACGCGAGGGGGGGGTCACGGGGGGGGGGCACGAGGGGGGGGGGGCCCGAGTGGGGGCACGAGGCAACAGCGGCAGCAGCAACGGGAGCAGCAGCAGCGGCAGCAGCAACAACAGCAACGGGAGCCGGTCCCAGCAGCCCCTGCGGCACCACGTGTGTCCGGGCGACACACGTGGGGACGCTGTGGGGCGGGGGGAGCGGTGGTGCAGCGGTTAGCGCAGCGTTGCGTGACGGGTTCGATTCCTGCTCACGGCCAACACCGGCGACGATTGTCTGGACCCGTTTTCGGGGCTCCGCTAGGTAGACTCGGCCTCAAATGACTCACTCAGTGCGGTGCGTTAACGTCGCCAATTGGGGAGACAAAGGCGGCCGGGCGTGGTGTTGGCCACCCACCCCCTCGTGTGCCACTGTGCCGGCCTTCATAGGTGCTCGCTAACAGCGCTTGCCCCTACAGTCTGCTACAGGCTACACGGGGGATCTTTGTCTTTGTCCTATCTCATGTGAAGCTCTGTAGACGCTACTGGGCAGTCGCCCTCCAGCAACAACGGAGGTCAGAGGAGCGACGCTCACTACAACGAGCAGGGCGCTGGGCGGATAAAACGAAGAAAGTTGGCACAATGGGGGGGGGGTACAAGTTGGTGGATCTGCCAGTCATCTCAGTCAGTCAACCCATGGCACCTGGGTCTCTTCCGTGACCTGCCAGCTTTGGTCACTTCACATGGCCTCAAAAGTGCACCTAACATGGCAAAAGCGCCGTGGGGACGTCACCGCCACTCAGTGGTGAACGGTGGTTATTGTTGTTGATCTCCTTCCTATTCGGCGACATGCCCGTTACAATACTGTAATAATATACTTTCTTTTAAGCCAGTAAGATTGACGAATGTATTGAGTTTTTTTTGTGTGCGTCAGTGCCAAACGCAGCAACAGCAGCACCAAATAAAGTGGCCTATTAAGGAAGGTGTGATGCGGATTCGGTGACCCGTTTGTATGCTCAGCATCCACTCACGTTATGATGTGCACTCAGACACACGGAATCCACACACGCTCAGTCTCGCATACACAGACTCGCACACACGGACACTCCCATTCGCACACAATCGCATACAGAGAATCACGCTCACGCAGACTGGAACACACTCAAAACACTCCCCTTGACCAGATTGGCCACTGTAAATTGAACCAAGATCCGGAGGGAAATTTCCCCCACCACCAACCACCACCGTTTCTATCACAACCGAACCACCACCACAATCCCCACATCACCCATCCCCACCACCAACCACCACCGTTACCATCACAACCAAACCACCACCACAATCCCCACATCCCCCATCCCCACCACCAACCACCACCGTTACCATCACAACCAAACCACCACCACAATCCCCACATCACCCATCCCCACCACCAACCACCACCGTTACCATCACAACCAAACCACCACCACAATCCCCACATCACCCATCCCATGGACGGGGGGGATGGGCGGGGCGATGGGCGGGGGGCGTGGCGATAAGGGGTGGGCGGGGCGATGGGCGGGGCGATGGGCGAGTCGATGGGCGGGGCGATGGGGGGTGTGGGCGTGGCGATGGGCGTGGCGATGGGGGGTGTGGGCGTGGCGATGGGCGTGGCGATGGGGGGTGTGGGCGGGGCGATGGGCGGGGGGGTCCCACGGCTCCACCGCAGCCTCCGCAGCGCCCCCTGCGGCCGCCACGCGCCGCCCCCTCCCCCCATCCCCCCCTCCCCCCATCCCCCCTCCCCCACGTCCCCCCCCTCCCCCCTCCCCCACGTTGCCCGCCTCCCGCTCGCGTCGTTTTAAAACAAACGTCGCAGGTGCGTTGTGATGTTTCGTTCATCTCTACGCGACGTTTGTTGTTGTTGATGTTGTTGTTGTTGATGCTCGTGGGGTGAGGGTGTTGACGAGGAGGCGAGCCGCCCCAGGGAGGAGGAGGAGGAGGCGGCAGTCGCGGCTCGTGGTGGGTGAGAGGCCCCGGGACTCGGGGCCCAGTGTCTCGGCTTCCCGCCATCACGCAAACACGGGGCCGCCCTCCTTCTCGATCTTTCCTCTTCTCTCTCGCTCTCTCACACACAGGTCGGCTGCCGCGATGCAATGTCCGTCGCCGACTTGAGTTGCGATTACGCGTCCGTGAACGTCGTTGCTGAATGTGGGGCAGCGAAAGGCGCCTCGGGCCTAGCGACAAAAGCTGCGGGACGAGAGGGAGAGGCCTCGGGGGCCCAGGCGGCGTGGGTGAGGTGGTGGTGGTGGGGGTGAGGTGGTGGTGGTGAGGAGGAGGGTGGTGAGGGTGAGGTGGTGGTGGTGAGGAGGTGGTGGTGGGGGTGAGGTGGTGGTGGTGGTGAGGTGGGGGTGAGGTGGTGGTGGTGAGGTGGTGGTGGTGTGGTGGTGGTGGTGAGGTGGTGGTGTGGTGGTGGTGGTGAGGTGGTGGTGGTGAGGTGGTGGTGGTGGTGAGGTGGTGGTGTGGTGGTGGTGGTGAGGTGGTGGTGAGGTGGTGGTGGTGAGGTGGTGGTGGTGAGGAGGTGGTGGTGGTGGTGAGGTGGTGGTGGTGAGGTGGTGGTGGTGAGGAGGTGGTGGTGGTGGGTGAGGTGGTGGTGGTGAGGTGGTGGTGGTGAGGTGGTGAGGTGGTGAGGTGGTGGTGGTGAGGTGGTGGTGGTGAGGGTGGTGGTGGTGAGGGTGGTGGTGGTGAGGGTGAGGGTGAGGTGGTGGTGGGGGTGAGGTGGTGGTGAGGAGGGTGAGGTGGTGGTGAGGAGGGTGAGGTGGTGGTGAGGGTGAGGGTGGTGAGGAGGGTGAGGTTGTGAGGGTGGTGAGGAGGGTGAGGTGGTGGTGAGGTGGTGAGGAGGAGGGTGGTGAGTTGGTGGTGGTGAGGAGGGTGGTGAGTTGGTGGTGGTGAGGAGGAGGGTGGTGGTGAGTTGGTGGTGGTGAGTTGGTGGTGGTGAGGAGGAGGGTGGTGGTGAGTTGGTGGTGGTGAGGAGGGAAGGGTGCTCTGAGAGTAGTAAGGGGGTAGTCTGTCTCACTGTGAGTGGGGGAGGACGACGACGACTCTTCACTCGGAGTATGAAAGGGGGAGCGGCGGAAGGCTTCCAAAGAGCGAGCGGGTTTGGAGTTATCACGGCGAGGGGACTCACCTGAAGGGGGTCTGAGCTGAGACGCTGAATGAATGATACCTGAGGACCACTTCACTGGAGAGATTTACTGTGAGGGGCACTCCTTGAGTGGTCTCTCATTAAAGGAGACTCAATGGAAGGGCCTGATGGGGCTCTTGTGACCGAGGGGATTCGTTCCTTGAGAGGGGACTCTGAAGGGAACCATCGGTGGGGACCGTCTCTTGAGTGGAGGCTCTTGAATGGAACTTTGACCGAGACTAGATTTAAAGCTTTCGTGATAGCAAGGATTCATACTCTTTGATTTTTTCGGTAAAGTCACGTAGGTAAAAAAGCGAAAACAAATTAAATCACGACGTTTCGGAGGCAACACAAGCTTCTGTCATATACTGGTATATAAGGTCGCGTGTCTCTTGGGACTTCTCTTCACTTGATACAGCAATTTTGCTGTGACGGTTTCACCTGAAGACGGAAGCTTGTGTTGCCTCCGAAACGTGATTTAATTTATTTGTTTTCTTTTTTAACCTACGTAACTTTACCGAAATAAACAAAGAGTTTGACCGAGACGTCGTTTTGTGTGGGGTGGGGGGGGTCTCACCTGAGTTACTGTGTACTCACACTGTGAGGGAACAGAGAGGACTGGCCGAGGATTGACGTTGAGGGGGCCTCACTGGGACTGCGAGTTTCTACCTCTTATCAGACGTGTCTGGCCTGTGCAGCCGAGGTGACGTACTGTCGTTGTGAAGACTCAGCTTCCTCCGACGATTCACCTTGTAGTTCACTATTTGGATACACGCCATATAATGATTACTTTTTATTTGGTTGAACATGTAGGCTTTCGCAACCAATATCCATAATATAGGTTTTCTTAGGTCAGATCGCGTAAATATAACGAAACAGGATTCCTCAGCAAATCTGGCGGTCGCCTGATGAAGCTAGTTGTAATTACTGGCGAAACGTACTCTGATTATAAATGTTGTGGATTTTCTCTCCAACACACCGGTGTGCTGTACTCGTAACGAATTGGCATGTTCTGTTTACGTGTGAAACCTTACTAATTGGTTGTCGGATGTATAACTTTTTTTTACACGTCATTCATTATTGTTATACACCGTGGCAATCCTATTAATACTGTGCACAACACGTCAGTGCTGCTATATACACCATACCATTACTATACACAAGTGCCATGCTCTTATTATTGTACATTGCATGCAAATATTTTAATTACGATTCACTACATTATTATAGGCACCATGCCATTATTACTGTTATCTCTATTAATACTCCGTTCATTAGTTTATGACCAATGGCTTGGGCTCCTGTTCCAAGTTCCATCAGTGCAGGTGGATATGCTGGGTCTATTACGCAACATTAAATAATTCTGAAAGCCACAATATTTGTGCCTTTACGCCTCTCGATCTGAGGGCAGGCACACAAGTGTATATTGGGTTAGTTGTTAATTGCCAGTGGCGTTTGCATTTGGCAAGATTAGACCTCTGTTAACATCACGGTAAAACTACACGACAGCAATATATTTTACACCTTTAAAAACTGTTTTTGAGAGCTATTTTCCCAAGCAAGCCACTCATTTGTGACCTGTCATGCAAGCTATACATCCAGTTAATTATACAACACATCCAGCAGGAAATGTAGGCCAAAAAATATTCAATTATGTACGAAACATTAACTGTAATTTGTTATTTTTTTGTATTGTCTAGATTCGAACAAATTGGAGATAGCAGGCTGGTGAGATTGCTGTCAAGATGGGACCCAGCGTGTCTGGTGAGATCAGCGTGGCTGGCGAGATCAGAATCTTCACTGAACAGACTGGAATGACCAAGTGGAAGGATGGCGTTGTCGAGGTCGTGGAGAAGGATACTAAGTCCACCCTTGTCG